TTAATTTGAGATAATTAGATTTATTTGATTATCTTAATTAAAGATGAGTAAATGTGATTAATTAATTTTAATTAATGTTAAGTTAATTATTTAATTAGACTAATTATCTCAATTAATTAATTTCAATTTTCAATTAACTTTAATGTTGGTCATAGTTAAAAGTATCTTCGTTCATTTTAAATTTTACTCAAAACTTTTATAATTAAGCAATTCAGTCCATGGTTTTCAACTCTCTTCAAATCAGTCCTTCATGTTTCGAATTTAATCAAATTAGTCCGTTTAATTTTATTTGTGCTTATGATGCATGCTTGTCTTTGATTTTGTCCATTTTAGCCCAAAAATTAAAAAATGTTTCAATTTGGTTTACCCTTCTTTCAAACTTACCTATTAAGACTCAAACATAAACACAACGAGTAAGTTGAATCAAAACCCCAATGTTAAAGTATGCAACCGTGTTTAAACGAAGGATTGTGAGGTGTGCGTATGCCCTTCCTCACTCCTAACCGAACCCCCGAACCCCGATTTCTACGCAGACCCATTTTAAGTGACTTGTCCCACCTTATAATTTGGACGAGTGGCGACTCCTTTTTCCTTTTATATTTTACACTTGATGATTTTCAATTTATTTTGAAAAAAAATCTTAAGTGGTCGTCAACAGCTGTTGATGGAATGGGAAGTGATCCTTGTAGTAAGTTGGATCTGAGGTCAACAGTTCCAAGATATCCAAAACCAAATAAATCTATACTAGTCAAAAAGTTATAAGAAAGGTCTAAAACAAGCAATGACATCCCTTCAATTTCTCATTTGTGAATTTGACCATAAATCTTATTCTTGGAAATATATAATAGTTGTAAACTCTTTGCCTTCCTTACAAATCTGGAGTCTAGAATCGTGTAGCTGATGTTCTGAGTCGCCGACATGCCTTGCTTACTTCCTTACAGATGAAAGTCACTGGATTTGAAGTGATCAAGGAGTTGTATGAGGATGATCCTGATTTTAGCAACATTTGGCAAGCCACTTCTAATCAAGCCTTTCAGCAATATCATTGCCAGCAAGATTACCTCTTCAAGGGTAACCGACTATGTGTTCCACGTTGCTTACTCCGAGATTCAATTGTCTGGGAAGCACATAATGGTGGATTAGCTAGTCATTTTGGGAGAGACAAGACTTTAGCTCTTGTTAAAGAAAGTTTTTACTGGACAAAGTTGGAGCAAAATGCCATTCGTCACATTCAAAGATGCAAAGTTTGTCACCAAGCCAAGACAATCAATCAGAACATAGGGTTGTATCTGCCATTGCCTATCCCAACATCACCTTGGGAAGATGTTAGTATGGATTTTGTCCATGGTCTACCACAAACTCAACAAAGCAAGGATTCTATCATGGTCGTGGTTGACAAATTTTCTAAAATGGTTCACTTTATTGCTTGTCAAAAAACTAATGATGCTTCTCTCATTGCTGAGTTATATTTTAGAGAGATTGTGCGTCTACATGGAGTTCCAAAGACCATCACTTCAGATAGAGATGTGAAGTTCATGAGTCATTTTTGGAGGACTTT